TGGATTCAGCTACCGAAAGTGGAAAAACAACAGAAAATACATTTTATTTAAAGAATCAAGATTATTTTATCAGGTTAATTTTGGTGAAAGAGCTAAAAGGAATGTTTAAAGGACCGGTCATTTATCAAAGGGAGGGGTGAGAGATTATTGGATGTCTCATGAAACGTGGGTTATAGTTGTAGCTAGTTAAAAATGTGAGAAATGATCAGCTGAAAGTCTGCCTGGTAACTCATTGTAGGCATACTGTAAACAGTCTACAGTCAAAAGTTTGAGGTAAGAGCTTAGACATATGTTCAGCTAACTGAACAGCTAGCTAGCATGACTGTTAGCTAAGCTAAGCAATAATTAGCTGTTTAATGGTGTCTTTAGAGTCGGATTACACAACAGCAGTGCATAAATGCTGAGTTTACCTGAATGTAAAGCTCAGTGCTGAGAGTAAAGTCACGCTTGGATTCAGGAGGGGGCTCTGATTCATGCCGATGGTGAACCGTGCTTCTCTGCTCTCTCACCAGTTTAAATGGTGACTGTACCATAAATCAGGAAAGCCTCCACCACAGTAAGGATTCCTTTAAAGCTATGTTTGTCTGCTCCAGGTTAATGAAGTCTATCGAGACCACTCACTGGGTGCCAACATCAACGTTGTCCTGGTCAGAATCGCCCTGCTGTCACCAACCAAGGTACCGAACTCTGAGTCCTACTCCTTAACCTACCGGGTCAGGGTCAGAGCCCTTTGAAGGGTTCCAGTTGTTCAGGAAAAACGTGTTGGTTTAAGATGTCTTCAGGGAGGAAATCATAAATAAGAGCTACTTTGTGGGTCTTTTAAATTCAGGCCTGAGGCCGTCTGAGCAGTTCAGTGTTCTTCCCTCAGGCTTTGAGAGGTTACCTGTCTGTTAGGAGGTGCATGTGTGGGAATAATAACAAGCACCGTCCTGTTTCATCAGTCCCAGGAGCTGATCTCTGTGGGGAATCCTCAGAAGAGTTTGGAGAACGTCTGTGGATGGTCGTATCTCCAGCACAGAGAGCAGAGTCTCGCTGAGCAGCACGACCACACCATCTACCTGACCAGGCAGGAGTTCGGCCCCACCGGCATGCGGGGTAATACCCCACAGCACGCCAAGCAGGATACTACAAAAACCGACCACACTGATTGCCAGGTGTAGAATTAACAATGGTACCAGATGGCAAATGACCCTTGACCTCTGACCCTGTCATGTGTGTCTGCAGGTTACGCTCCAGTTACGGGCATATGCCAGCTGCATCGAAGCTGTGTTCTCGTCATGGAGGACGGATTTTCTTC